CTCTAAAGCTCATCTAGTCCAACCCCCCTGCCGTGGGCAGGGACATCTTCAACTAGATCAGGTTGCTCAGAGCCCCGTCCAACCTGACCCAGAATGTTTCCAGGGATGAGGCATCTACAGGTTCTCTGGGCAACCTGTGCCAGTGTTTCACCACCCTCAGCATAAAAAATTTCTTCCTTAGATCTAGTCTAAATCTACCCCCCTTTAGTTTAAAGCCATTCCCCCTTGTCCTGTTGCAACAGGCCCTGCTAAAAAGTTTGCCGCCATCTTTTTTATAAGCCCCCTTTAAGTACTGATAGGCTGCAATAAGGTCTCCCCAAAGCCTTCTCTTCTCTAGGCTGAACAACCCCAACTCTCTCAGCCTTTCTTCAGAGGAGAGGTGTTCCATCCCCTTGATCATTTTCGTGGCCCTCTTCTGGACCCGCTCCAACAGGTCTGTGTCTTTCTTGTGCTGAGGGCTCCAGAGCTGGACGCAGTACTCCAGGTGGGGTCTCACCAGAGCAGAGTAGAGGGGCAGAATCCCCTCCCTCGACCTGCTGGCCACGCTGCTTTTGATGCAGCCCAGGATACGATTGGCCTTCTGGGCTGTGAGCGCACATTGCTGGCTCATGTCCAGCTTTTCATCCACCAGTACCCCCAAGTCCTTCTCGGCAGGGCTGCTCTCAATCCCTTCATCCCCCAGCCTGTATTAAGCAGTAGGATAGAGAAAGGGTTTGATCCAGTTCCTCTTTCTTCCTTCTTGTTGCAGGAACAAGTAGGCCTTGCTCCATTCCCTTTCTTACCCTATGGACTTTCTTTATTGTTTTGTATAGGTTTTCTTATTTCTGAAATGTATTAATTCATTAAAAAGTCCGGAAATGTTTCTACCTTTTTGGATTTTTGCAGGAGCATCATGCTAGCAGTGAAGCCCAAAGGTGGCATTTGAGACCCCAGCAGGGAACAAACCCGGTCAAATTTTTCATCAGTGTGAACCAATGTGTGCTTATGCCTTTGACTCTGTTAGAGTTGTGTGTTTAGTTTATACAGCTTTATTTGGTGATAATTGGGCTCGGTAGTTAAATATTAGGTGGTTGTTGGCCATCCTAGCCTTTTATGGGAAATGATTATTTGCTTTTGAAGTTTCAGTAATGAGCATGTTCAATGTGTTTTGTACCTGAGGGCTTCACTCTCAGATGCTCTTCCTATGTGCTGGGATCGCTTTTTGGTTTGGAAAGAAATGGTTGCAAATATTTATGGTTGTTTTTCACAGCAGGCAGTTGCAGAGATTAGATTTTAACTCCCAATTATTACGTTTAAATTCCTCCTAGAATTTTTTTGTTCCTTTTAGTTGCATCATCTTCCAGCTGCTGTAGGGTTGAATAAAAGAAATTATCTGATCAGGGCATAAGGCTTATGGTGATGCTGATATTGGAACTAATACTAAAATAAGGAGGATTTAATGCTGGTTTTCTGGTAAGGTTTTGTTTGTGTGCATACATTTGGGTTTTTCAGGAGAGGAGGGGAGCTGTTGCTTTTATATTTTTGAGCAGTAATTGAAGAGAGAGACTCAGAAGGGAAAGCTTTTTAGTTTCTCACTAGTTCCTGCTCTCAAAGGTTTATATAGAAAATTTTCCGTGAAGCCACGGAGCCATTCAGTTTAGCAGAGAAAAAACCGTATGTGATTAGAAGTGGAAAAACTAGATGCAGTTTTCTATTGCTTTCGCACTTTGGACACTGGATGAAAGCCCTCAAGTGGGAAGAGCTTCAAGACTTTCCCTGTGACAGATTGTGCTTTTGAAGTGTAGGCGGTGCAAGGGGGTGATGAAGCTGATTTGTCTGGGATTTAAGTGGTTGAGGTCTTGAAGTTGTTGCCTGCATATATTCGATAATACAGAGGACTTGATTTAGGGGTGTGAATTGTGAACTAGTGAACTTGCAAACATAAGACTATCCTACATATCACCTGTACTGGACTATTTCTCTTCAAATGATAGCAAAGAGACTTAGTAACCAGTCCTCAGTAGCTGTTTCTTTTGCTTTTGTTTAATCCCAGTAGAGAGGTAATGATTTTTATTCTCAATCAAGATAATCTCGCTCTTAGACCATAAAGCTATTCCTTCTGCAACCTTGTATTTTGTCTCCTTATCTGCAAGAAACGTGCCAGTTAGTATGAAACCCTCTGGTTCGTGACATATGTTACAGATGCAAAAGGAGTTTTGACTTGTGAATATTTAAGGAAAGGTGAAAAAACTCTATGTAAATAAAGATGCTTTCATAATTATTTGTTTTCCTTTCGACATGCTTTCTATCTGAGAGCTTTTGCAGGGTTACCTGAGGTTGGTTAGGGACTTAAATGAAGCCTTCCCCCTGCAGATACAATGTTCACTAGTATTTGAGTTCTAAAGTGAGAGTCCAGTCAAGGTATAGATACTGCAGTTGAAACCATGCAATAATATGATGCGCTTTATAGATGCAAAAGTACCTGATCTTTTGTCGGGCTCTGTTGTCTCTTGCTCCATGGGAAGTTTTTCAGTGATTGATCTGATCTGGACAGCGGGACACAAAGTCAAGAATCACCTGTCTGTCTGTAGAAAAATCTGAATTGTTTGGGTAGAGGCAGTGGAAGGGAATAATTTCTCTCTTACTGCTTTCAGCTTATGCTTTTATTGTGCTTGATTGCACTGTGAGATGTGGAAAGAGCTACATCGGATGAGAGAGGCACTGAGGTGGTGTTTCATTGTGCTTGTGATTATAAATATCTATAATAAGAGCTTTATACAACAAACAAATAAAAAAAAAAACCCTTGGGTAAGAACTGTTCCAAGTATGGACAGTGTTTGAGGAAGGAGACTGCTTAAAAGGCTGCTGGTATAGAAGTTGGCAGAATAAGTATGCGCTTCAAAATAAATACCAGTTTTTAACTAAAGAGAGGTTGGAGTTTTAAAGATGAGCAGAGTATTTGCCTGGTTCTTCCAGCCTTCACAGTTCTTTGCTCCTTCTTCTGCAATATGTATGTCTCTCTTTAAAAAAAAAAAGTCATGAAAAAATAACGCACGCCATAGTTCACATGTAACCCTGGAAGGAAGAATGATTTGGAAAGAGAAGTGAAAACGCCTTGCTGCTTTGTATATGAAAAGACATTATTGAACATTGTAATTATAATAAAGCCTGAACAAAATAAACTGTTCTTCAGATACCGTGGATTTATTTTAGGCTGAAGCACAATTTCCAGGCTGAGCCCTTGCACATGCTTGCCACGGCTGCTGGTTTGCTTTAGCAGGCAAACCGATGGGCATTTTCTGTGCGCTGAGCGAGCTGGATGTGGCAGGAGGTTGCTCAGGGCGAGGGTTTGCAGTGCCTGGACATTGAGCCGCCTGTTGTGTTGTTGATTTCAGCAGGGGGGAGAGGATGCTGGCTTTTTTCACCCAGAGGGCCAGCCCCAGCGGCCTCAACAACCCCTGGAGCCGAAACAGCAGCCAGTGCGGAAGGTCACATTGACAAAGGGAATGCAACAGCAGCAGCACCAACAGCAGCAGCAGGCACAGATCCATTCACCAGCTCCTCAAGGAGTCAAAAACATCCAGGGAATCCATCAACCTAAAAAGGTGATTTTTTAGATGCATATTGCTGCTAGAAGTTTCACTGTCTAGCTGTGTTGCTCTATTAATAACCAGCATTCTGTTTGTCAATTGTTAGCGCAGGGCTGCATGACCCAGGAGATGCATAATTGCATATAAAGCTTTTAATCTAGAGAGGCCTGTTTGTACCCAGCACAGACTGGAGATGCCTGCAGGTGGTTTCATCTGCTGACTTTCTGGCCAGCACAGTACTCCCCGGGGGAAATGCGTGCGTCCCAAGATAGCTACTGTAGGAGATGGTATCCAACGTGCTTTCTGGCTTTAAAAGCAAGAGTTGTTCTGAATTTGTGCTTAAGCTTTTATTCCAGCAGTTTCCTGAATACGTAGGAGCACACAGTGGCTGTTTCAGGATGCTCTTTGGTCGACCCTCAAAGTTGGTATTGCTCAATATAGTTGGTGATCTCGTAACTGAACGTTCGCACTGATCGTGCACTGGGAGGAGGCAGGGAGAGGATTCGGGTGGCACTGGCGTGTGCCTTCTCTGCATTTGCAAACTGGCACGCTCTCTGAAAATAGCTGGTATTTTGGCTTTTAAGTTATTTCTTGGTTTTGAACTGTTGGCTATAATCTTCCTGCTTCATGTAAGGATAAAGTTTCCTTGCTGATGGGGAGGGGTGTGAAAAGTCGTTACCTTCCATAGGCTTTCCAAGTAGGAATCAAGAAACCCTGTTGAGTGTTAACTCAATGTTATGTGTTAACTCTGTTTAATGTTTGTTAGTCTGTTTCATTGTTATTTTTCCTCTCTCCAACTGTTCAACCTTTAATTTACAAGAATTAAATCCACACATTTCCTGCTCCAGAGGATACTGTGGTGCCAGATCCTACAGGATTTGGGGGAAAGAAACTGAAAAAAATACTCCGTATGCGAGTACTCCATCCTGTTAACAGCCCAAGAGTTGGTAACAGTAGATACTGGAAGCAGTTGAAGCAGTTCACTGGTCTTGTGGGTACATTAAATTTACCTGTGGGTTGAGAAGAGAAAAAGGAGAGGGATGACTGGTTGGTTTTTGGCCAGACTAAAAATACGGGAGCTGAACACATGCTGCTAATGTGATCAGTGTTGAAAACTAGGTTAGATATTTTGGTCTGAGACCCTCCACTGTTTGGTTGATCCATGCTAAAGCTGAGGCTTTTAGCCTCAATGCAGTATCTATAACTCAATATATAACTTGCTATCCTTCTAAAAGAGGTTTGTGTATGCAGTGGATGAATATGTTAATAAGTGGCCTTTCAAATCAGCAAACAGCAACAAGCTGTTTTAAATCAATGCGTACTTTAATCAAGTCTTTAAGTAAATCGCCAACTTTTGTATCGTCTGTCAAATGCAGTGAGCAGAAGCACTAGGTAAGTAAATCAAAATACTGTTACTTTTGTTGTTGGCAGGTCATTATGCACGGCAGAGGCAGAGGAGTAGCAGGCCAGATGGGCCGAGGACGCTTGATGCCAAATAAACAGAACCTGCGAGTGGTGGAGTGCAAACCTCAGCCCTGTATTGTGTCAGTTGAAGGGCTTTCTTCATCAACTACTGATGTCCAACTGAAAAACCTGCTGATGTCAGTGGGACCCATTCAGGTAGGTCAACCTCGGTTTATCATTTTTGTGCCAAAAGGCTTTCATTCCAGAAAGCTCAATTAATTCCCTGACACTAAATACAATGTATGTTTATTGGTAGGGGGAAGGCACCCCCACCCACACACGCTACACCTGGTAGCAGACACAAGCACATGATGATACTGCGGCATGGGAGGTATGGTAGGATTTTGCTAACCATCACGTTCCTGCTGCAAAAGTCTCCTTCATTTTGGAGTTCTTGTACTGTCTGTGCTATTTTCTTAGACCACACAAGCATGTCCATTCTGTGAGGTTGTTTAAGCCAAATGATCATATCAAAGCAAATATATTTTTGGTTGCTGTCCTTGGTTTTATTGTTGATTTGCACCTACCCTCTTTTTTTGACCTTTACCTATTCCTGTCATTGCAGTCCTGGGGTAAGAGCACTTACTGACCACTACCCAGTGGAGATTTTGTGCCACGTAGCACCATTTACCTTTTCAGATGAAAAGTCTCCTTTTGAAGGATTTTCTTTATCTTTTTTTTTTTTTTTTTAAGAAAGTTCTCTTTAGGAGGGGCCTGTGAGCAAGGTTATAACTAACATACACACACTGAAGCTTCTGTTTGTAAACTGCCTCCTGGAACTGATGTATAAGTTAAACTGACTTTAGGAAAACAGGAGGTTTTCAAAGCACTGAAGGGCTTAGGAGGCCCTGTCTGACTTACAGTTAGTACCTTTGAAAATATCAGTCAGTGAATAATGAAACATACCGATTAGGAGAATTTTTTCTTTCATTTTTTTCAGCTTTGGGTGCTCCTTTTGACAGGATCAACATTTTCTGACTGATGCAATGCATGAATTGGAACTATTCTGTGAGACTTCTTTGAGTGGGATCATCTCTCTGTTGCAAAACACACTGCTCTCCTAAAGATGTACACTCTGCCTCACTTCTTCCCAGTTTAGTAAATGGAATAATGCTGAATTATTTACGTCGTCAATTCAGAGAGGTTTAATTTGTGAAAGCAAGAATACTCTCACAAAATACTTTGTCCCTTCATGTTCTGTAGTACTCTAGGAAATTATTCATACAGTTCCAAAGCACATTTATTCAGTGTTTACTTGCTAAATCTTGCATGAGAATATTAGAAGATTAATAGAAACCCTGCTAGGAAATACTCACAATTGAGAGAAGTTATTGAGAATGTGCTAAAAAATTTATTCGGTCCTTGCTGTTTCATAGCAAACTCCAAACTCTGGTCTCTTAATTCAATATCACAGACCAATTTAGAAGGGTGTGCTTATAGGAAAAAATTGATAACTAATTTTCCAGTGGGATTTGATACATCCCTGTGCCCTACAGAACTTGCATTCTTGCAGCAGCATCAGCTGTACCTTTGGAAATTACAGTTTCTAAATCATCGTCTATTTTCACCTTATCAGAGATCTAGAAGTAGTACTTGAAAGAGATGCTTGAATTTAGCTAACGATGCAGAAGGTTTTTGTAGTAATTCTGCTCTTGAATTTCAAATCTGACTTGTAGAAGGCTAGAAGTTTCCTGGCTTGTTTGAGACTGATGTTTCACAAGTGTGGATAGTGAGATACACAGGGGAGAAGTGATCCTTTTGTAGGAAGAATATGAGACTGGGACCACCGTATGCAATATTTATCTCTTTTTGGTTTGGTTTTTTTTTTTTCATGGTACCGTGATGTACCACACACCAAATGAGGAAGAGGCAGCAGCAATTTTAAGTGCCTTGTGAGGCAAGAACTGAAAACAAAATGTTTGAAAATCTGTGTTGTCCCTGTTCACAGTAATCACTTCTATACAGATGGTGCTGGATTTTGAAAGAGGTCGAAATCCTGGAGTGCACGACTGGATTTTCTTGTCGCTATAAGTTAATGTTTTCACTAGTGTTTGTGCTCAGTGCTGTACAAATTCCCCTGCAACTGGAAGTGGTCAGGAGGCTGTGACAGAGAAGGGGTACTCTACTTGGTTATTTCCTCATTCTTCCTTGAAAATGCATTTTGTATAAGTGACTTGCAATGAGAAGTGCAGAAGTGAGCCACTGAAGAGAGCCAAGCAGTGAATGGAAGGGTTCCTTGCCAGGTGGCCTTTGGGGATTTCACACGTGAGGACAATAACAGAGAAGCAAGGACAGGTAATGGCCATGACCAGAGCAAAGAGATCTTAGATCTTCTGAGATGAAGTGTTGCATGCAGCTTGATGAACTGAAATAGGAGGGATTTGGGGAGATGGCTGTTGTGAGCAAACAGCAAGGTGAGAAATTCTAGCTGCTTTTTTGGGAATTAAGCAAGATGCCTAGGTTTTTAGCTGATTCAGATGGAGTTCAAGAGACAGTGAGAGGAAGGGAAGGTGAGTCAGTTGTAGCTGACTCCATCTTTAAGATGTAGTATATCCTGTCTTTAGCTGTTGACTATATTCAGGAAAACTCTCCTTAATGAGCTGAACTCGGAGACATTAGTTTCTTGAATTTTATTTATCTCAGGGGGTAGAGGATGTGTGTCAAACTCATGCTTATTTTTCGCAATTGTAAAAGACCTTTCAAATCTGAATCAGAACTTAAGAAGTTATTTCCCTGCCTGGATGGTCTCGAAATGACACATGCTGATTATCCAACACCAAATCCCTGGTTTAACGTAAAGATTCCCAAACTGTAGGACATAGGCCTCTAATGGTAAGCAAGCATCTTGCTTCAAAGGGATGTGCAAACGCAGCTGATAAATCTGAATATTGCCTCTTGTGTATCAATTTCTGCTGCAGTCAAGACGTGAACTTGGGAATGACAGCACTGAGGCATAGCTCAGAAGAAATACTTCCCAATGATCTCTCTGCTCTTTGACAAGAATAGGTCACAGGCATTTGTCCCACCTGGTACAGGAACTCTGCTTAATCTGCACCTTCCATACTGGTGCATCTGTAGAGCAATTGATCCCACACCAGCTCCTGTTTTCAAATATATAGTTTAGCTCCTAATGTTGTTGCAGTGTGCATATCCTGCATGTGTTTTCTAGGTCTTGGACAGAGGATCTTCGCTGGCATAACAGAAAGTTTTAGCGTATTTATGGAAAAAGTCTAGCAACAAGGGTGAATTGGGGAGGAAAAGATTACTTTGTTTTTCTGGGTACAAAAGGGTTGGATTTTTAGTTTTAGGTTTTTTATGTCAGTATCACTATCAAGGTACAACTACCTTGCATGAACCTTGGGAAGGGAAGTTGAAAATTTCCCTCAATTTCATATCCAATGCTCCTAGCTTTACCATCAGCTTGCATTGAGGTGATGGTTCTGTGAGTCAGGGTTTGGGAATAGCTGGGCATGCATAAGAGAAGGTGAAGGAGATTTTTACAGTTGAAGTTGGAAACTTGCCATTTTTTCCCTTCCGTACACTAGAAATGGAGAAAATTATCTTTTCCCGTGTATGAGCTTTGAAATACCCTCTGTTGCCTAATCACTGAAGACTCTTCAATTCTCATCCTTGCTTCATTAAAGCTGTTCTGTTATTAACGTAGGAGGAAAAAAAATACCATTAAGATTCTCAAGATACCGAATAGAAGAAAATCTATGGGGCTCCAGGAACAGCCCCTTAGTCGTAGCTGCATTTTACAACTCAAACATGATTAAATTAGCAGGAAAAGTACTTCCTTTCAATGTACAGTTTGCTGTCAGACTCTTTCTGGAGTGGATAAGCTTTCAGGTACAAATAATATAGCTGCAATAAAATCTGAGTGCCAAATCTAAAATAATTACATACTATAAATAAAATTATGCATTTCGAAGTGTTGGAAAGTGCAGAAGATTTCTGAGCACACCACCAAAATAGAGTCTCCTGGGGACCACGCTGGAGCAGTGACAATCTGTACACGTCCATCCAGAACCACTTGCTAAAGTAGATTACTAATAAGTTGCAAAGGTCACGAAAAACCCAGTGTGGGTTTTTTGGTGCTCTTGAATCTGGGTTTAATGTCTATACTGTCTAAAGAGGTTTATGTTCAGCTAGTTATTGCCACCTTCAGATTTTTTTTTTTTTTAGGGTGGTGGCAGATAGAGGGGATCATTTGCTAGATCTCCAGATAACTTGACCACTGAGTGATCGTTCTGTGGTGGTGTTCCGTCATCATCTTTAATCATATTTTCTTACATCAAATGGTTGCAAACATAAAACATCAGTGCAAAATCTCAGTATTGCTTTGTGAAGACTTAAGATCATAAATTCTGATGTTGGAAAAAAAAAAGGGGGAAAAAGAAAATCTCAAAAAAACTCCACTGTTGTATATCAGAGGTGATGAGAATGCTGCGATTGTAGGTGTATTTTGAGTAGTTCTACAAATACGCATTTTACTCTGATAACACAGTCCTTTCTTTTCTGGTCTCAGAAGGGAAGTACAATTGCCATGTTGATGTGCTTCTCTTTGCTTTCTTAGAGTGACAGTGCTACCTAGTGCTCAGTTAGGGTAAAGGCAGCTATCTGCACTGACACTGTATTCAAAATCGACTAATTTATTTTTAGTTTACGGGCTTATCAGTGGCAATGATGAGCGTGCCCAGAACACGAGTGCTCCTCCAGGATCAGCAGGGCGGTTCTCCGTGTGACATGGCAGACAAAGCGCGCAGGGCTGGCGTGGTGCCCTCTGTAGTCTTCCTACCTGTAAAAACATTTTCAGCCAAGAGTTTTTGCCAGTTCCATCGACTGTGGGAGAAGACATGGGCAGTCCTGCTCCATCCTTGGGGCTGGGGGAAGAGAAGAGCAGCTCTGTAATGAGCCTGTCCAGTTCAGCCCTGCTGTGGAGCAGTATGTGAGCTAGAGACACTCACCTCAATGATAGGAGAAGATCCCTTCTTCTCATCTTGCATATGGAGATGGAAAGCTGAGCACTTGTAAAGGCAAATAGTAGGAAGTCAAAGGTGGCAGAAAAGCAGGAAGGAGGGACAGAAGGTGGAAGAGATCAGTTGCAACAGCTGAGGATGAAATAAGTACGTTCTGTCCCAGCCTCTATTCCTGTT